TGGCATATATGGGGGTGACACGAACGTACCCTGAGGGTCTGTTGGGGGCACAGAGGAGGACCCCCTGTCCCTGGGGTGGTGGGTGGGGTGGGGGTTCTGGGAGGCTGGGCATTGCCCCTGTGAGGGATGGAGGTGGTGCTAACCCTGGCGGAGGGCAGAGTGGATGGCCAGGGCCTGGGGTTTCAGGGTTCTGGTTCTTGGTCCCAGAAAATCCACCGTGTGACTGCCCGTGGGAGGCAGTGAAGCACTCTCGAAGCACGGTGAGGAGTCACTGAGACAGCTGAGAACGCAGAGTCAGCGGGGCTGCGACTCAGGCCCATAGCCCTGCACCCCTGCCACGTCTCGGGGGCTGCGACTCAGGCCCATAGCCCTGCACCCCTGCCACGTCTGGGGGGCTGCGACTCAGGCCCATAGCCCTGAACCCCAGCCACGTCTGGCTAGTGTGTCCCCGTGGACCCTGCTCCAACAAAGCCACCCAGAACCCATGATTTAAAAGATGGTTAAAATGATGCCTTTTGGATGCTGCAGAAATTACTGAAATAAAACATCTTAGGAAAAATATATTTTTCCTGAGCACAAGAACATCATTCGGTGAAGTGAGCACGATTTTGTTGGGGCTGGGCGCTCTCCTATGGTGGCCGTGTTGATGCGCCCTCCTCAACAAGGAGAAACAGGACCTCCAGGAACATCACCCAGCTGGGGGGCCTCCTGTTCCGGAGCGGAGAGGGCTGGGGACAAGGACATCCCTCCGGGGCTTCGTGTGTCTGCTGTGGGATGTGTCAGAGGTAAGCAGGGGGTATGGCAGGCTGGGAACTGGACAGTGCCCTGGCAGCACCATCTCTGCCTCTTCATTTGTCACCAAGAAACTGATGGGCAGGGGCAGAGGGCACACGGTCCAGCAAGTGCTGCAGCCACTGGGGCCACTGCAGCCCAGGCTCCCCTGTCCCCTTCCCAGCTCCCACTGTCTTCCTGGCTGCAGCGCCTCCTCCTTCAGGAGGACTCCCTGGGTCCCCAGTGGAGGAGGAGGCTGTTAGGCAGGATTCCCACAGTCCCCCAGGTACGCCATTCTGGGAGCCCCCTGAGCCTGCTGTCTACCAGACACCATCCCTGCAAGGGACAGACACCCATCTTAAACGTTATGGGTCACATGATGGAAATGTGTACCGCATGAGCTCGATCTAGGGGCTCAAAAGGTGTCAGGAGGGCTCTGTCTGTGTCACGGACAGGTGCTCCCCCGTGGCTCACAGGGTAGACTGTGGCAGCCCCGCTCAGATCTTGCCTGGAGGAAGGACGCAGTTTTCCCCCGTGGTTCCAGCAGAACACTGACTGTCCAGCCTGCGGCCAGTCTCCTCCCTGGGACCATCTGGATGGCCAGGCCTGGCTCAGGGCCCACTGAGGGCCAGCCCACCATACCACAAAGACCATCAGGAAAGAGGGGTTCTAGGTCTGAGTTGGGGGTGGGGGCACTGGCGGGGGCACTGGCGGGCAAGCCCGAGGGGCTTCACTCTCTGGGCTCAGCATTTCCACTGGAATTCACACTACACGCGGCACCTGCATCACACAGTCAGCCAGACGCCAGCTGTAACTGATTAGAAGCTAAGAAATGGGTGCATTCTGGGGAAAAAAATCAGGACAGACTTTTCCAACTAGCCTTAAGTAAAGATTCCACCTCAAACACTTCCCGGAGCTGAATCTACCATTCGCACTGCGGATAGAAATGTTTCTCAACAGCCCTGGCCTCGGACTGGCAATAAGCACACTGACAGGCATGCGCCTATGGAAGGAAGACAAAAATCCAGAAATTTCCTCCTGCAGCTAAACACACAGAGAGGGTAAACAAACACACTGGGTTGATTAGCAAATAAGAATCCTTCAGATTTGGACTTTGGCATGAGAACTGTGTCCAGAGTTAAAACCACATGGCATCTGAAGCAGTCACATAGCATTTCCTGTGATGTCCCCGTCATTCCAATTCTACTTGTATTTATATAAAGTCATATATTTCAATTAATGTTGCAGCCATTAAAAAACCCCTAGCTCCCACACGACAGACAAGGAAGGCATGCGTTTCCCAGGACAGATGACTGAGTTCATGTGTGACAGCACCAGCCAGCACTCCCTGAGTGAAGATGGACTCAAAACACCAGGGGCTTCTGACGCATCCTTCTTTCCTGATGAACGAACAGCTTTTCGGTGTCTATACACAAACCTTTAAGAATGCATGTAGAGTCTCCTGTAAACACAAGAGTACACGGGATGCTCAGAGGGAAAAGAACTATATATGGATCCTAAGTTTTTTTTTTTTTTTTTTTTTCTGAGACGGAGTTTCACTCTTAAGCTGGAGTGCAGCGGCATCTCAGCTCACTGCAACCTCTGCCTTCTGAGTTCAAGTGATTCTCCTGCCTCAGCCTCCCAAGTAGCTGGGACTAGAGGCGCCCGCCACCATGCCTGGCTAATTTTTTTGTATTTTTAGTAGAGACGGGGTTTCACCATGTTGGCCAGGCTGGTCTGGAACTCCTCACCTCAGGTGATTCACCCACCTCAGCCTCCCAAAGTGCTGGGATTACAGGCGTGAGCCACCATGCCTGGTCAGATGGTGAGATTCTTAATAACTACCTAAGACAAATAACTTGATTGTAAAATTGTCACAGATAAGTTCTCAAACCTGTAAACTAGCGTACTTTAAAAACAATTCCATGTTGCCATTCTGGTTAGCAAAATCTTCATCACCAAGGAGATCTGGCTAGTGCGGCAGCTTGGGAAGGAAACAGCCTGTGCTCAGTAATTCTACTAATTACAGCTGGGCTCCAATGACATTCATTTACTGATAACCTCATAAAGTTGTGCTTGTTCTTCCAAGACATAACATTAGCCAGGCCACTCAAAATAATGTTAAAATTACAGGACTTTGGACTTTGCGCAGAACATGACTAGTTTTCTTGATAAACAAGTAAGGTCTTTATATGTGATCGTGACATAGTGTTTTATTTACACAAGCTTTAGAGGGTGCAGCCTCTGGACACTAGTAAAGAACATTTATTTATCTGGTTATTTATATAAAAAATATTCCACAAGCCAGCTCTCTGCCTTGCTAACAAAGAAATGTTTGTTTCTTAGGAAACGAAAACAGTGAAGGCCATGTCAAGCCAAATGGAGAGAATAAAATTACTCTGAGATTTTGCTTTCCACGCAACTTCAGCCAAAACTCTAAAGTGGCAAGACCGGCTTTCAGATTATATTATATTGGCCTCTGAGGATTCTATGCAGATCTGCCACCCCTTGGAGAGGTTTACAAATAGGGACCAGAAATCCATGGCTCCCAAGAAGCCCTGGTCCCTCTCCTTGCTGGGCCACGAACTGCTCCCCCAGCTACAAAAACAGCGCCGGTGGTCACTGCTTGCTCAGTGCCAGTGCCAAGGAATCTTGAGCGGCAGGTGCCTCTGACCAACATCACTGTTTCTGGGGAAAGGCCACACATACCAGAAACAACTGCTCCGGCCTTCCCAGGGGCACTGGGTTCTCCCACGCCAAGAACCTATTCCGTTTCCGTTAAAAGGGAGCTAAATACACGGAATAATGCAATAAGCAAAGCGGCTTAGAAGGGGCTTGAGTTAGCATTTTAGAAACACGTTACAGACAAGGGAAGTGAACAGGACCGTTTCTTGCTGAGTGTCTGGCCAGTTCCTGTGGCCTTTGGGCTGTTGATAATCGCCACTTCTCCCTCCAAGTGGAAAGCCAAACATGTTCCACCACCTCACCAAGGGACCCGTCCTTCTTTAAATTTCTATTAGCCAAAAGTGCCAAGTTAACAAGCAAACCAAAAGAAAAAAGAAAAAAAAGCGATGGAAATGTCCCGAAAAGACATGATTTGCAAACAAGCAACTGCTGCATGCGACAGATTGTCAGTGTTGACTAATTTCCATACAAACGGGCTGTGGTTCTGATTCCCAAACACTGCGTCTTCTGCAAGGTGCCTGCCTGCAGGTTTTGCAACGCGGGACCCTAGGGAAGGGAGCCTGCGCTGGCGGTCACCGCGGCGCACAGCCTGAGAAACGGAGGAGCGGGGCTGGGGAACCCCGCGTCCTTTTTTTCCTTCTGAAAACAAGTTCTCCAGTGTGCAGGGCTGACTTGCCCCAAGCTTTTCAGAACGCCCGCTCCCCGACGTCCCCAAAGCCGTCCCTTCCCCAGCGAGAAGCGCAACCCGGGTCCGCGCCCTCCGCCTCTCCTGTGCCCTGGG